TGAAACTGATCAGTGGCTGATTCCAGGAAGCTGGGGGCAGAGCAATTCTGCCTCCAGCTTCCTGTAGTCAGCCCCTGGTCAGTTTCAGCAGCAGCAGCTGAATCTGGAGCCAGTTCCGACTTACATACAAATTCAACTTAAGAACAAACGTATAGTCCCTATCTTGTACGTAACCTGGGGACTGCCTGTAAGCTTTTACCTTCTACCAACAGAAATTGGTCCAATAAAAGATATAACCTCACCTGCCTTGTCCTTCTAAATAAATAGGGCTTAGCCATATAATTGTTGGCTCCACTCCTGTTTCCCTTATAAACTTCTTTACCAAAACATTCATATTGCAGCCGGAACATCTTTCTTCAGGCCAAAACATGGCACAGCTGGTATGGCTACAATGAGTATTTGGATAGCGGCCGGGAAGGAAGTATTTTTGGCATTTTTGCCTTGAACTGAATAAAAAGGCATTTCAAATTTACTCATCTGGACCAAGAAAATGTTTGGATTTCACAGCTCCTTTGCATTCCTTCAAAGAACTCTGCTAACATTCTGAGGATGCAGGGCAACAGCTATAAACAGATCCTGCTCCAGACCGGTTCTGTGCCTTGGACAATGAGGCCTCGGTCCTGACTGGGGCCTCTAAAACAAGTAGTAAAAATCAAACTAGAGATTCTCGCAGTGTTTGAGCATCCCCATTTCAAGGCTTGCTTGTGTCTCCCTGTGAAACCTCTTTGTTGTTTGACGTGTTCACCCTGAAAGTACATAGCTGAGGTCTGGAAAATTCCTTCTAGTGGTGTGGGTGTCTTTAAGACAATACTAGCAGCCGCAGGAAAAGTTCACACTGTTGTTGTAGATCTTGTTTCAATGGCTAGAGCTTTAAGCTAAACCAAGAGGTGGAAACTTTTCTGCCATGCAGGGGTGAGATGGCTATTTTTGCCTTTCTTAATTTCAGTAAGATCATGTCTGATAAGAGCAAATTCATCACTGGTATTGAAATTGGCTTGAGCTGGCCAGGAGAAGGGGTTTGGGATTTCTTTCAGAATGTGGTCCCATCAAATATAGGTTGTTCAATGATACCCCATGTAAATTCCAATGTGGAGTGGTAGATGACATGTAGTTATGAAGTTTCTTTTGTCTCTATGGAAGCAGGTTCTCTCTGAGTATTTGGGTGGCCCATTCCATGACTTGATCTATCTCTGGTGGAGTGTCTTGGTTTAGTGCTGGCAGTTTTTAAGTGTGTTTAGGTGTATCCCATAGACTTTAGTGCACATGATGTGGTATTGGAGTGCCTGGCTACAGAAAACAGATTTCTGGGGAAGTTTTCTTAGGGGGCTGGGGCACATGACTTAAGACAAGAAGCTGAGGGATTTGGGCTTATTTAGTCTGAAGAAGAGAAGAATGAGAGGGGATTTGGTAGCAGCCTTTAACTACCTGAAAGGGGGGAGAGGGGTCCAAAGAGGATGGATCTAGGTTGTTCCCAGTGGTGGCAGATAAGAGAACAAGAAACAATGGTCTCAAGTTGCAGTGGTGGAACTTTAGGTTGTGTATTAGGAAAAAACTATTTCACTGGGAGAGTGGTGAAGCACTGGAATGGGTTATTTAGGGAGGTGGTGGAATCTCTACCCTTATAGGTTTTTAAGGTCAGGCTTGACAAAGCCCTGGCTGAAATGATTTAGTTGCGGTTGGTCCTGTTTTGAGCCGGGGATTGGACTACATAACCTCCTGAGGTCTCTTCTAACCCTAATCTTCTATGATTCTAAGTCTTTGGTGGTTATAGGGCCTGTGAAAGTAAATGTGGTGATTTGTGTCATTTGTAGGGTTCCATTGTTTAAGCTGATCGTGGTGTCTAGGAAGTTGATTCAGGTGTGAGAGTGTTATAGAGTTCAATGAATGGGGGTGATGGTTACAGAAGGTGTGGTGGAAATCTATAAGGGCTTGTCTACACTACAGAGAAGATCAACGCTGCTGCAGTCTATCTTCTGGGGTTTGAATTAGCGGGTCTAGTGAAGTCCTGTGCTGGTAGGGCTGCTCCTCACGAGGAGTAAGGGAAGTTGACAGAAGCATATGTGTGTACGGCGCCAAAACATGATTTAAGATACTTGGACTCCAGCTACATAATTAACGTAGCTGTAGTTGCATATCTTAAGTTGACATCCCCCTTTACTGTAGACCAGGCCTAAGGGAGTAAGTTGTCTGATATGACAATATCACAACATAATTCAATAGATCACTGGTTTCTTAGTTCATTTTCCAGAAAGTTTTCCTCAAGGTGGCCAGTGAAGAGGCTGGCATATTGGGGAGCCAATGCATCCTTGTTTTCATGGCTGTCCCCATGGTTTGGACAAAGTATGTGTTGTGAACTGATGAAGTGTATGCGATTGGCAATGTGATTTGGGTGGATTTCTGAGCACTGCATATTATCTTGTATGTATCTGAGGCAGTCAGTGAGCTGTGGTGAGAGATGTTGGTGAATAGGGAGGTGACACCCATGGTAGCAAGGATGGGGGAGTTTTGTTAACACTGCAACATTTCAGGAGGAAGTCAATAGTATGTTGGAAGAAGATGACCCTTGGCATGGTGAATGGTTTGATGATGGGTTCTATGAGTTCTGTTCCTCAGAATGCAGTGGCTAGATATGACTGGTTTGCCTGGATTCCTTTGTTTGCATGTCTTGAAAAACATGTAGAAGGTCCCTGGGATGAGTTCATGGGGAAAGAGGGTGCAGAGTGTGTCGTGGAAGTGTTCGGGGAAGGCTTTGATTTTGATTGGTAAATTGCAGTATGGGGTCTTTGAGTTGGTGGTGTCAGAGAGTTGTCCACTGGCCTCCCTGATGATTGGCCTCACAACATGATTAAGGACTACGCTGATCACTATTAGTGACTGGATTTCAGGGGCTCTATAGCTAACCTTCAAAAGGCAAGTCTGGAGACTTTAATTTGTAACTCTGCTAAACACTAAAAGCCATGGACTCAACAGAAACATTGATGATATGGCTATTTCCAACAATTTGTAACACACCTCGCTGCCTGCTAACCCTGAATTGCCCACTTCATTTTAAATAGCAGAAATTATGCAATCACAAGGCCTTTAGGCTCAGGTCAAGGCACCTTATTTGTCAGTCCCTGCGTGTCTTTCTCTGGTGTCGTGAAGAGTTGCTTGCTCTGGAAGTGAGCCAGTCCTTCTCCGGGGGGGAATAAAGTATCTGCACCTAAGATATTCATATCCACTTGTGAGTTCACAGAAGACATTCAATTTAGTGACCACTTCATTTGTTACATGATTTTATCTTTGGACTCCCATCATCTTTCCCCTCACTGGTTCAGTTGCTTTCAATTAAAATCATAAACAGCTTTGATGTTTACATTTTTGCTTTTTATTCTGAAATGAGACATTACTTAGGTCAAGGATGCTAAAGATCCACAGAAAGCCTTTTGTTATAAGAGACCTTGTATGACAAAGACAGAAAGGAGAACGCTCCTCCAGTCATTCTTCTACTTAATTAACCTTTTTATAATTGCACACATTATTTGACAGAAACATAGGGAGCAAATGAGCTGTACATTTGTTTGCATTTAAAATTCCAGGAGAGAACTAAACTGCTACAACTGGAAACCTGCCACTATTACTTGTAACCCAGCTAGTATAAACTAAGCAAAGCCAAAGCTAAGTCCTGTCTTAGCTGAAGTCACTTAACACTTAACACTGTTGTCTCCTACACTAACAGCAGCACATACTGGGCATTATGTTTTTTTAAAATCACCTAAAGGTGAGTAATTAGTATAATCCCACCCCCCTTTTCAGAGCAGTTAAAATAACTGTTACAGGCTTATATAACTCATCCATGCTAGCTTAACTCCACAGACTTTTTTCCATTCCTTATAAGTATAGCCTCAAAGAAGGCAAGCAAGACAACTTCTATCCCTTTTGAACACCTTCTGTTCCCTTCATTTGCTTTTGTCCACAGCTTGTAGATTTACTGAAATCAGGGCTGGATTAAGGTGGCGGCTAGCCGGGCAGCTGCCCGGGACACCAACCTATGGGGGGGCACCTGATGGCAGCTGTAAGGGGCACCGCGCACCTGGCCGTGCAGCGCCCCTGAGACCTGCCATCAGGCGCCATGCGCCCAGGGCCGCACGGCGCCCCTTAGAGCTGCAATCAGGTGCCGTGTAAGGTGTGCAGCGTGCTGGGGGGCGGGGCCGCACATGCGCCATGCGCCCAGGGGCGGGGCGGGGCCACGCATGCGTCACACACCCACTGCCCGGGGCGCAGGAAAGGCTCCAGCCGGCCCTGACTGAAATGCACGAGAATAAAATACAAAGTGTCCTACAATTGTAACATTTTAGAAGGCAGAGCTGTGTTGGGATTCACTGTGTAGTACAACGTGGATGTCACAAGAAGATTACACTGGTTCAACCAACCTGTCCACAAGCTAAAGTGACAACAAAGTAAAACTGAGTCAGCTACCCATTGCCTCTAAAAGCCACCTGTACATAGAACTGTGAGCTGTGTAGGGCTGAAAAGAGAATTGTTCAAAGAAGAATTGGATGGGGAAAAATCTGCTATACAAGGCCAAAAAAAAAAAAAAAAAATCTCTACACAAACTGTTTCCACCACAAACCATCAAGCACAGCCATCCTTTTTACAATAAATGGGCACAAAACCATCTGCAAATTTTATGTCCTATCTTAAAGATACTGCAATCAAAATGTTTTGAAGTCACTGGAATGGTATATACAATAGTTTATTCCCTTGACTCTTAATTATGTCTACTTCTCTGAAGACAAAGATAGATTTTAAACTATTTCTTTAATCATACATTAACATTCTGCCACACTTTTTTTTAAAGTGACATCATCTTGGCAACAATAAATGGGATGAAAAATTCTGTTTGTAGAATGGACTTGCCTTATAAGGACTGTGTTCAAAAATAAATGCGCGTGTAAGTGAAAAACTTCTGTAAGGAAGGGAGATGGGGGGAGGATGCATGTGACAGGGATGCAGAATTCCTATCACAGAGGAATAACTGGCTGGGGAAACTAATGTTTTTAAAGCATTTGTTGTGATTGCGAGGCCAAGAGTTACTATGCAGATTTAGTTACTCACTGGAGCAGTCCCTTTGATCTCAGGGGGACTACTCACATCAGTAAAGGTTTCAGGATTGCCCCTGTTTGTTTCAGTGCTTGAGCATCTCTCCAGCCTTATTGCGCTCTTCAGTTACATACAGACGAAGGCAGCGATGGGCAACCTAGGCCATCTCAGTGAGTCACAAGATAGTTGTAACCAAGACGGTCTCCCGGGAAAGGGTAGTTTTGCTCACTGTGCTTGCGTACCTAGCGTTTGCAGGGTGCGTCAACTGAACTGTAGCAGCGCTTTGAAGAGGGAGCGCACGGCTCTCCTAGTCAAGGTTGTGTGCAGTCAGCTTGCACTTCAGTTCACATGCCCTTGCTTTACGTGCGTGTCACTTTAATAATACTGGCAGGAAAAATATAATGTGGATGGAAACCAGTGGAATCAGACAACCCTGCACGTGGACAGCGGTAAACAACACGCCTTGCAGGCCACAGGTTGCCCACCACTGGACAAAGGGGAGGCATAAAAAGCCTACGAATCAAAGCAATTTCTTTCGACAGTCTGTGATGAACTAGGGGTTCTGTCTGTACCACTTCTGAATGACGGATGATTTTATGAAATTACTGTGTCATAGGCTATTTGTATATGGCTCCCCCATGAATTAGCAAGGCTCTCTCATGTTTCTACTGGCCAGAGACAACAATGAGTGAGCTGCAATCACCTATTCAAAACAGAACACCTTGGGACAATGGGTTTGTTTGCTCTCGCTGGGAGAAGACACTTCCTCTTGTTTCTGAAAATGTCCAAGGAGACCAAAAGAAGCAGGTGACCCTGGCAGGAGTCTAAAGGGAATCCCCAGAGAAGACAAGGGCAAGGAATTCACTTTGCCCCAGATTAAGGTGAGGGATTCCCTGCAGGGGCAAAGGGTCCGCTGGAACACAAATGATTCTCAAAGCCCCCAAGGGAAAGTGAAGCCCATGAGAGATTCTGTCTTTAGGAGGTTTTGTATGATCTGTATTCTCATGTGCTTTACATGTTAAGAGCATGGCAATGTTTGACTGGGCAATGTGTGTGTGTGCTGTCTGCATCACAACTACAGTGAGCCCCTGAGAGAGTCAAACTGTAACCCAGAAGCTTCACACCTTTTGGGTGGACTTTGGGAGAAGGAAAAACAGCAAGGAGTCCCGTGGCACTGCAGAGACTAACAGATTGATTAGGGCATCAACTTTCATGGGTACAACCCACTTCATCAGATGAATTGGAGTAGAGTTTGCAGAGGCAGGGGTATATATAAGGACAACAAAAGAAAGAAGGTGATTTTGTAAATGAAGCTAATCAAGTCAGGGTGAAAGTGGCTCATTCACAGCAGTTGATGTGGACTGAACTCCAATTCATCTGATGAAGTGGGTTTTACCCACAAAAACTTATGCCCTAATAAATCCGTTAGTCTTTACAGTGCCACATGACTCCTAGTTGTTTTTGCAAATACAGACTAACACGACTACCCCTCTGAGACTTTGGGAGAGGGGTATGTTTAAGTATAGGGGAAGTCTGGAGAGCCAGTGCTGTGCCTAAAGGGGCTAGATAGTTGGACAGCAGGTTTCAACCATTGGATGGGGTGTCAAATAGAAGGTCTGTGCCCTGAGAGAGTGCCTAGGGACTTAGAGATTGGGCCAGTGGATGGACCCTGTTCAGGTTCCAGAAACTTGAAATACACCAGAGAAACAGAGGACAAAAGCTTACAATCCTCTACTGCACAGTCAGAAAGAAGCATTTATTAGGATCTGTGACAGCCATAGAAGAGACAAACAAGACTTCCTAAGAAGTATATATGGTTCCGGGCATGCTATAAGACAGTCTTTGCCCCCAAAGAGCCTACAGTATTCTTAAAGGGGTTAAAGAACAGAAGAAAGTTTTGTCCTATTTTACAATTGGGATTAAATGATTAAACAAGGTCCAACAGAAAGCGTGTAGTAGAGCTTGGAACTGAACTCAGGTCATCTTGTCCCAGTCTAACCATGAGATCCCCTGTTCTTTTACGAGAGTGTTCCAACTCTGCGGTGAGCCCAAAGGAGGAAGTAGTAACAGCAGTGCATTTCCCAAACAATGATATTTAAAGCTATAAATGGGAACACGGGGAAGAAACATAAGGACAGACTGTTTAACTCAGCTGAAATAGATTGGACTATGAAAGCTTTTGGAAGGACACAGTGGAAAATGGTAAATATTTTGTAACTAATTAAGGATTGTCCCTGCTAAGTTGTGCCAGTTGGCATTTTCATAGGAAAAGACACAATATACATATTTAAGAAAAAATCGCTTACAAGCAATTACACATCTATGACTAATTCAAAGCAAAATCAAGTGCTCAAGTTCATCTCTGTGATGCTATCCCTGTAAAGGTGCAGAGGGCAGAAACACAGATCAGTTACATCTGAAAAAAAAAAGACATCAAAGTTTTCCAGATCTTAAAACTTGATTATTTGAGCCACAGTTTCCCACCTTTTGGAACTGTGCTGCTTCCCCAGACTTTCTTCAAATGAACACAGACCAGAATCATTCCTTCGGTTCTCTTCCACATTTCATGAAAATTCCTGTACACACAGGGCATACATCTTGCATAAGCCATTGTCATCTCACTGGATAAACATGATCTATTTGTTACCAACAAAATTACAACAGAAGCCTATTTTCTTCTGTTACACTCAGTTAAATATTACATTCAGTCCACCTTTTCCCTTTTAAACTGGAAGTCAGTGTTATTTGGCTGAAACATAGAATTTGGTTACAAGTCCTTCAAACAGGACCAAGCCAAGGTGGACTTGTCTCGAGAAAACAGGGACTTATTTTCCGAAGAAATGTCCCTTTTTTTATGAAAAAAAAAAAGACTTTTGTAGGTTTGTATTTTTTTGAAGTTCACATCTGGCTCTAGTTGCTGGCATTGTACTACAGAGAAAACAGAGACTATGCTGTATCTGATCCCATAGTGATTGAGGAGGACATGTTTTGCAAAGCTTTATAAGCCATAGTCCATTTTTTTTGCAGAATTTAAGCCACATAGGGCTTGGAATCACTTTCAATTTATTCAGCATACTGAGATAGTTGAGGTAGAAAGCAGGGGTGCAGATAAAACATTCTACTATAAAGCCACTGCCATGATCAATTACTACTTGTAATAGACGTTCACAGAATGTAAGGAGAGATTGAGATATGACTTGCATGGTTTATTTCTGATGGTCGGTGGCCATGTTTTTCACTAAGTTAACAGCCTGTGTCTAGAATGAAACTGACACATATGGGGCTCTGGTGGTCAATCTAGAGATGAAACGATGTCACTGTTACCACAGATTTGGTCACTGTGTTCGTGTCATCAGCTCTTCTAGTGCCTTGTCTCTATGATTTTCATATATCAGAAGAACCTCTTTGATTTCCGCTTGCTGAAAACCCATGTCTTTAAACTGCACTAAAAGATGCAGGAATTCAGCTGCCTGGAGGGGGGAAAGGAACAGGAAGGAAGTTAGTTTATCATTATCAATTCAAGGAGAATTCACTGAAAAGTTTGAACAGAGGCAGCCATGTGTGAAAAGGTGCGATTGATCTATGTGATCAATGGTACAGAATGTGGATGGCAAAGCCCTGAACCTAAATGCTGTTCCACCCAGACCAATTCCTGTGCTCAGGTAAAGCCCCATGAAAGTGACTGAGGCTCCAGCTGGTGCAGGGGCTGCCTTTGCAGAACCGCTCCTCTGACGGCAACAGGGCAGTTTGAAAGCACTGGACCAAATTCACCCCAGATAAAAATGGGCACCAGTCCACTAACTTAATGGAGTGGCATCCGCTGGTATTGGTGGTGAATCTGGTTTCACTTCTCTTTCTTTGAACACACGCCCTGAATGAAATGACACGAGGTCTAACTTTGAATGGCAGGAAACAATTTTTGTTTCTTTATTTCTATCCTGCTTATAATGGAGCAGTCAATAATAAAATGTGACCATCTTCAGCAATTCCAAAGGGTTCTAAAGTCTTCCCTATCCAAGAGTATGGTAAAACACTACTAATCTGGAGGGGGGGGAATACTCTACGCTTATCTAATAATGAAATAGAATTGCAGTCCGTATTATGAAATAATGTCATGAAAAATAGATCAAATGGGAAAAAAGTGCTGAGCATGAGCTGGGATTTATTTGTAGTGCTCCCCTGCCCTCTAATACCCCTCACTCCTGCCAGACTTTTAATTGGCTTCAGTATTTTCCACAGCCTCTCCTTTGAAACTAAGTCACCAGAAGTGAAAGGTGTTGTGAAGCTGGGGTTATGCCAAAGTTCAATAGTGCTTATCCTCTTCCTTGCCAGCTTTTCACATTTTAGTGGCACCTCCCAACACCCTTGGCCAAATGTGACTTCATACAGGCCATCACACATGGCTACAATACCATGGCTCTACTATCTAGGGAAAGGAAGGTGAACAGTAGAGAGCCTGCACGGGGGCCTTAGCAACTCATTGTGAAACTAGTAGGTAGATGGGCCATGGGAAGGCAGGTGCCCTTGTAATATAGAATTCCTCAGTGCAGGGGCTATGGAATAGCATTTGTACTGCAAGGAGGGAAGGCAGGAATAGAGCCATTCACAAATACAGCTCTGTGCAGCCCACAAGTATAGCGGTTGTAGAGATCGTGCTGGGGGTTTGGTTCACTCCCACCTCTACTACAAGGCCTAAGCAACATTACTCTTTGCTCTGAATGTGCTCTAACTACTTCTGACCTTTTTCTCCGAGTACTGGAACATTTCCATGGCTTCTTCCACCTGCCCCTCTTCATAGCCCTGTTTCAGTAACCTGTCACAGGCACTAAGGTAACTGAGAAACTACAACAAAGAGAGCAAGAAAGGACGTGGGTTAATATAATATAACCTTCAGGAGAAAAAATAAGCAGCAGTCAAAATCCGTTGCCCATATATGAAACCTGCGATTGAGGGAGGCTACCTGCTCACCACTCCAACACCTAACAATAGGAAGGTCCCATCTTGGAGGTCACCTGAACTCCACAAGGGGATGAGGGCCGTATAACCAAGAGGATTACCACCCAGATGCACATGGGAGGGGACACAAATCATTCCATTATAATGCAAAATCCATACAAGCCTGAATGGAGCATTCCTGGTTGAGAGGCTGGGCCCTCTGCTTCATAAAATTCTAGCCCCACTGATTTCAGCAGGGCCAAGTTTTCAGCCCTGCAGTTGTATCGAGCTTATTTATGCAAACATTTCCTCTGTGTGGGCCAGATCTTCAGCTGGTGTAAATCAGGTCACTCCAGAGTAACATCACCTATAGATCTGGACCTTGACTTTAAAGGAAAGTGCAAAATTGGTTGGTTTTTTCCACCAGCTCAATTCTCAGGTGCTCAATGAAGCTAACATTGGAGTGTTCAGATGGAATTTGGGATTGGAGAACAGACTAGAATTGTAACAAGAAACGCATGGAATATATACAATTTTCCCACAAGCTGGTAAAAGCTTTTTGTTACAGTCACATTTCAGGGAACTAGACCTTGTGCCTTTCAGTCTTCATGAAAGTCAGCTGTAATTTTGCACCAGTTTTTAGCTATAGAGGGAGGATCGCAAATAAAAAGGATGGGAAATTCATTTATTTCATTGCCTGAAGCTTTGTCCACACTAATTGTCAGTGATTCAGGCAGCAGGATTTTCACCACTTCCCTGGAGAAGATAATCATATAAGATCTTCCCATTCCCTGGGTGTGGGAAATATGAACAAATGGAAGAACTCCCCCACCCTGGGGGAATCCAAAAGTCCAAACTCTGCTTGATGTGGGAAAAATAATTCATTTATTTCATTGCCTGAAGCTTTGTCCACACTAATTGTCAGTGATTCAGGCAGCAGGATTTTCACCACTTCCCTGGAGAAGATAATCATATAAGATCTTCCCATTCCCTGGGTGTGGGAAATATGAACAAATGGAAGAACTCCCCCACCCTGGGGGAATCCAAAAGTCCAAACTCTGCTTGATGTGGGAAAAATATTTTAAAGTTTGGATTTCTTAAAAAAAAAAAACTGGATCATTAAAGTGTTACATGGTGCTGGACCCTAACCTGCCATGCTCAGTGTCACTGCTGATGTTCAAAACATCAGTCCCCCAGGGGCTTGACCCAGAATACTGAGTAGAACATGCCCCCCACTGCAAAAGAGGCCTGTGTGCTGTCATTACTGAAAGTAAACAGTTATGTTTGGCTTTCCTCGTTGTTCTTGGAGTGCTGGCAGTACAATTCCCACTGGTATCTTATAAATACCACAAAAGCTGCTCACCGCCCAAAAACTTATATGACAAACAATAAATGAAATATACAATGGTAAAAAAAGCCAGGACCAAATTCACCACTTGTTGTAAATGGGGGCAACTCCATAGACTTCACTGAAGTTGTGTCTGTTGAAGCCAGAGGAGAATTTGACTTACAATCTCCAAAGTCTTTGCTAGTAAAAGAAAACGAATGCTCCTCCGCCAGACTAACAGTATCAGGAAGTATCAACAGAGGGATTCACTAAACTTGCTAAATGTCCAAAAGAAAAGGCTTTCAAAGGCTAAGAATAAAATTTGGCTGAAATCTCATTTCTCCAGTGGTGCAGTAATGATGATTAAAAAGCAAAACCTAAATTCACTTGGCATTATCAAATCAAATACTACAGCCTCTATTCACTTGTCATTTTTATGAATAACTTTCTGCTGTGACTTATCTCATGACCTTCTTTCCTAAAAAGCCACTACTATTGACAATACTTCTTTGACCATTGAAAAGTTAAACAGAATCAGGTTTTTAAATACTGAACTTTTATGTTACAGTATGGACTCATCTTTTGCCTGTGGAGGTGGAGAAAAAATGTAGCTAGCTTACCCTGGAGGAATGTATTTAGGAACAAGTTTTGCACTTGTTTTTTGAGAACATTAATGCACCCACAAAATACTAGATGGGCACGTTCTGCAAACCAAACTAAATACAAACACAGTTTTAATGCATGAACCTATCATAAATTGTTCTCTCTGGTTTTTTCCCCGTGTCGTATAATGAGGTAGCCTCAGTGCCAGCATTTCCTATCAGAGAAAACTTCATAAAGGGGTTTTTATTCTGGCACTATAATCTGTGACATGCTAAGGTACAAATTAGTCTTGAAGTTCTTCAGTACACTTGTAGCTTAGTAATTCACCTGTCCCCCATTATCCCATTCATTACGTTACTTGTCATGCTATGCAGAATATTATTCTTTTTCATATAAAAGAAAAGCAATGCAATGACAAACTAAATCCACTCCAATTAACTGTCCTGGTTCATGCCAGTTGGGGACCTACCCATGCTGTGGCTGTGCAGCTTAAAGTAGCAGGAGTCAAGCTGCCTGTGCGCCTAGCTCCTACTACATTTAAATAACAAAGCCACAGCAAGAGTAGCTCCTGGACCGGCGCGAGTCAGTACAGAGCGCCTTCCCTTATTGACTAATCGTGTAGTCGATACAAATTGTATTGATGACACAATGAGTCAATTACCTGCTTCTTAACATCCTTACAGCACACTGCATGACTTCATTGACTACACAGGGCATATAGGCTGCACTTTGCCCACTTCTCCGTGTCAGGCTTGTTTTAAGCCTTTGTGAGTAGAATAAATAAAGTTCACCAATCAGGATTACAAAAATACTTGCATTAAACAGCAAAACTGGTCTGTGAAAGATGGTCTAGTGGAGAGGGTACTAGCCAGTCTCTTAGAAGACTTAGATCTAATTCCCTATTCTTTCGTACAATTCCTGGGTGACGCTCAGCAAGTCACATAGTCTCTCTCTAGATCTCATTTCACCATCTGTAAAATGGGATAACAACACTTTCCTACTTCACAGGAGTTCTGTGAGGATGAATACATTAAAGATGGGCATGTGCTCAAATACTAGTTAATGTAGAAATGCATCCAATAAGTAATATGTATGCATTGACAAATTAGAATATACTGTGACCCAGTGCAATGCAAAAGCATTATCTGTAGATATTCAGTAATAAATCACCATTTTGCAGACAAATTATTTAATTCTGATGAAGAAGAAAGAAGTCTCAGAGGCAATTACACAGTCCTATTTGGATTAGAAGAGCCATGGAGATAAATCATACTGATCTAATGTCTGAGGGGAAAAAAAATCTGTTAGCAAAATGTTTCCATACCATGAAAACAAGAAATCTGCACTTCAAAATAACACTGTGCTTTAGGTCACAGGTGTAGGCTTTTGAGTCTACACAGTACATAGAACACTGTAAAACAGCAGCTATTATTGCCTGCGGGAAGGTGGCTGAACGTAGTGCAAGCCAATGTTATTACTTAAAAATGTAAGCTCTAAGCAGTGCTCTCTCTAATTTTTTCCACCAATGAGTGGAATGAATTTTCTTATGTGCACCACTGTGGAGGTGACATGCAATACCTCACCTTCATATTGGTTCACATAACAAAATTCATGTGGCAGAAGTGGGGCCAAGGAGTTCTGCATGTGGGAGAGGGCTCTGGGCTGGGGCAGAGGGTTGGGTCACAAGTGCTCTGGCTGGCAGTGCTGGCTCTGGGATGGGGTTTAAGGATTTACAGTCCGGGGGGGTCCAGGTTTTGGAAGGAGCTCAGGGCTAACTGTTGAGGTGCAGGAGGTGGGCTCCCTGTTGGGGATGGCAAGGAGGGGCCCCTTTCCTCGGCTGTGGCTGCTTAGTGCTGGGGCCAGCGGCTTCAAGCTCTGAGGCTGCTGCACCCCAAAGCCCTCACACAGCTTAGGGGGAATTTAGACTCTAAGGCAAAAATCTGAATGAATTCGGTTCCCATTATGACGTATAATGAGAGCAGAACTGGAGCTCTCTTTTAAGAGTTGGCTAGTTACCAGATGATAGTGCACTTCTTATGCGATGGTCCTTTATTGAGTATTTTCCATACTATTCAAAGTACATCAATGCTGGCTCCACTAACCTGACCTAAACTTTGTCTTCCAGTCTTCTGGAGGGCGAGGATTGCTCTGCGTATCGGATAACCCAAGGCTATAACTGGCTCTATAAGGTCACGTTCCTCTTGGCTTAATGCCGAGAGGAGGTCAGCTGTTGAATCTGGATGAGCTCTGTGGGAACTTGGAGGTCGCAGAGTCCCAGCAGGGGGTGGCAAGCAGGAATAGGGGCTGAGGGACTGAAAAATAAACAGAGAACTTTATGTTCGCTAATTAGGACACATACATTTATAAGACACTAGCATTTATTACTATGTGGAGCTACAAAAAAAATCCTTTTTTCTCCTCTTCTGGAACAACAAGGTAATTGTGGATATTCAAAAGCACCATTTCAACATTTGTCATTTAATATAATGTCATTAGACTGGGCATCCCCGGGAAAAAAATCCAGTAAACAGAACAATTCCCTTCTGGCTGTGTGTGTGAGTGTAGAAATACAGGATTACGTGTTAGCATGTGACTTTTTCTGTTACATACCCTACTCAAATGTATTCTAAATTTTACTTCAAATGACCTTGCTGAGCTCAGACCTTAAATGTTTTCAGTGAAACTCTGAACAGACTGAGATGATAATGTCTGGAGACCGGAAATTTTGGAAAACTTTAAGCTATGAATGCTAAAAATAAAAACAAACAAAAGAATCCCTTTAAACAATCCATTACTACGAATCCATTACTAAAACAATTTGTCCACAAGGTCGCTCTTCAAATGAGACTCGACTTAATTAAGTCTAGGCATGGGTTCAGATACAGATGGATGCTAATGTGGAAAACTGATCACATCCAGCTTCTAAATTTTTGGGACTCCTGTTCATAACTCCAAGAACAAGCTCTTTAATTTGTCCTTGGCTGGCCAAGCAGGAAACAATCATAGTATCAATGAGGATGACAGGCAGGTGACCAAGTCTTAGAAAAAGTAACCAGCAATAATAAAAAATGTTTGTAGTTCTTTGCTGAAAATGGAAGCTGTCTCTCAAAAATGTAATTTTTTTCATTCAAAAAAATGTTCAGCAAAAAATTTCAGATCAGCTCTAAAAAAAACCTGACCTCCAAACACTACTCAGATTTTCCTTGATTAATTTTTTCATTATTTTCATCTTCACCATATAACAAAGGCCAATTGGTTCTATTTTCCTAAACAGTTTCCAAATGTTTGAGAAATACTCCTGTACAGGATGCCTTGTCTCCTTTCTCTTACACCTTTTACCCCACTTTACAAGGAGATGCGTGACAAAGGTACACATTATCAAAAAGTCTGGTCTTACCGCAACTGTGGGTTTATGGTTTCTTATTGGAGGTATTGACCTAGCAGCAGAAAGTGTCCTAGGACTACAGCAAGGGGTAGGCGGAGGTGTTGGGGTTAAAGTTCCCATCAAGGATACATCAGAGGCAGGTCCGTATCTAAGATTTCTGCTACTTCGAGAGCGCTGGTAGAGCGAAAATGGTCTTGGAGCCTGTTTCTTTTCAACAGATGCTCTATTTAAAGGATGCACTAAAGCAGCTAACTTCTTTTTGGCTTCTTCCAACTCATTCTTCATACTATTAAATAAAATCATGGATCTTCTTTGCTTGATCAGACCTGAGGTAACTGGCTCGTGGCAGCACTTTTCAGAAGGTGGATCTAACAATACTGGTGAAGACCTTGGCCTAAACTGATACATTCCGGAATGCTGAGGCATGGCATTTTTGACACATTTGTTGTCCAAAATGTTTTCTTCTTCGTTGTCGTCACTTTCTTCACAGGCAGTTGAGGAGTACTCATCACCTTCAGAATACTCATTCTCCTCAGAGTACCAGTCCTCACTTTCTGTCTCAGCCGGCGCAGCTCTGGGCTGGGGAGGGCCAGATCTCACATCAACGGCACTTAGGCTCACACATCTCCGAACAGAGGTGGTATGTGTAACACCATCCTTAGCTTTTCTACCAGTTGTCTCCTCGGTCAGTGTACTGGTGACATAGTTTTCTTTAGGATCAACCAAAAGCAGCCAGCAAGGTGGAGCTGTTGGGACAACATCAGCAGTAACTTCATACCAGAGAGTTTCTTGCCCAGAAGCGGCCTCAATCCAATAAAGCACCCTTCTTTCTAATGAGAAATCATACTGTAAAATAGCAGTAAGTGTCATAATTTAGTATTTATTTTAAAAACCTCATGTGATGGCAATTAAAATACTTTTATAGGTTCAAACGTGCACTCCTACTCACCCAAGTAATGCTTACATAGAACTAACTGCATGAGTAAGGAGTGCAGGACTGGACACTATGGGCGACATCCTCTTCTGGTGTAAATCAGCATAACTCCATCTCAGGCAAGGGAGTTATTCCAGGCAAGGGAGTTATTCCACAGTTTGCCCCAGTATTTGTAATCTTCCTCATAGAACTGTATCCACCTCCCCAAAATGATTGTATCGGACTCAAATTCACACCAGAACTTTGTATCTTTTTAATTTTTGAGCAATGCTTAAAAACTAACTTCAAGAACTGAGCTTACAAACAAGCTCTATGCCCCGCTTTAAGTATTTATCACCGATGGTACTGGTGAAGGGGAACACTGAACTGTGGACTGAGAGCGTTGGCATGGAAGTAGGAGAAAGACTATTTTTCATGTACTTTGTTTTAAAATATAAATATATTTGTGATGCAAGTCTAAAGTCTGATTGAGTAAATAAGTCTTATATCATGTTCTGGAGCTTGCCAAACTAGAATTCTTATGGAATGTCAGAAGGGGTGAAAGTAACTTACATTTCTTACAGGTACTGTTGTATTGCCGCTCAGGGCAGGGTTGGGGTGTGTGTGGAGGGGTTCAGGACTCAGGGCTGAGGGTTGGGGTGTAGGGAGGTACAGGAATCAGGGCAGGGGACTGAGGACAGAGTGTTGGTGTGTTTGAAAGTGCAGGAATCAGAGCAGGGGTGGAGGCTTGGGGGCTCAGGGCAAAGGACTTGGGTGTGGGGTTGCAGGAATTAGAGCAGGGGGTTGGGGTATGGGAGGGAATGCAGGGGGGAAGGGCTCCAGCTGGGAGCCTGCTGCACCACCTCCTGCAGCGGAGCATCCTAGCTGGCTCTTACTTTGACATCTAAATGTCAGACAAATATCCCACAAGCTCAGACCACAAGTTCTGATTTTTACAACTTACAGATAGTAAGGCAGAGTGCTTGCTACTGTGATGACTGCCAATGGACTTGAACCAAATACCCCACAGCTAAAATACACCCGTTTTCTGAGGGACGATTCTAGATCCAAACAAATTCTGGTGATTAATAATATTGTTTATTTCAAAGCAAGTTATGTAGGCCAGAATTGTAAGAGGGGGCAACTGGAATACCTGTGCAAACACAACCATGGGAGCCAGGAGACCGCATCAGCTTGCAATTAGCCTATTTTACACATGCCGCATAAGGAACAGATGCTGCAGTCTCTTTCAAATACCTACTCTTGCTCTATCTGAGACTTTTAAAATAGGGAGTGGAGCACAGCAGGGCAAAAATGACCGAGTAAAGAAGTGGGATGTGATTTTTAAAACTGTGAAGTTCCTACTAGCAGGAGTAAGCAGCATCGCTCTCTTTTATGGAAAGTCCTTCCAACAGACTTGCCAAGAATAAAGTGCAATGCCCCCACCTACTGGTGAGAACTTGTGGAACGGCTCTGAAACCAAAGCTGTTTCTTTTACAAAGAGGACTCCTGCGAAAATCCTGTCCCATTCTACGGCTGACACTGTGCTAGCAACAACTCCGTGTAACCTAGGAAATCTATGCCAGCAGGTTCTGGAATAACATCGACAACTGAGATGACAGGGATAAAAAAGTACAGCTTGCCAATGGGAGAAATCCACAGCAGTTTTCTATAACTGACGAAGCTGTTCTAGCACCATGTGTATTTAAAACAGTGATAGAAATGTAGCCGTGTTAGTCTGGTGTAGCTGAAACAAAAAACAGGACTATGTAGCACTTTAAAGACTAACAAGATGGTTTATTAGGTGATGAGCTTTCGTGGGCCAGACCCACTTCCTCAGATCAAATAGTGGAAGAAAATAGTCACAACCATATATACCAAAGGATACAATAAAAAAAATGAACACATATGAAAAGGACAAATCAAATTTCAGAACAGAAGGGGGATGATATTAGAGGTGATAATTGGGGAAGCTATCTTTGTAATGAGTAAGATAATTAATGTCTTTGTTTAGAACTAGGCGTAAAGTGTCAAATTTAAGCATGAATGACAGTTCAGAGGATTCTCTTTCAAGTCTGGTGTTAAAATGTCTTTGAAGCAGGATGCAGGTAATCAAGTCGTTGAGACAATGCCCTTTCTGGTTGAAATGGCAAGAAACTGGTTTTTCTTTGTGATCGTGTCTAATATCTGTTTTGTGGGCATTGATCCTTTGGCAAAGTGTCTGAGACGTTTGTCCAATGTACAAAGCAGACGGACACTTTCGGCACGACAGCATAAATTATATTTCTGGATGAGCAGGAATATGTGTTCTTGATCTTATAACTCAATCGGTTAGGTCCAATAATGGTATCAGCAGAGTGAATATGTGGACAAAGCTGGCAACTGGGTTTGTTGCAAGGGAAGGTTCCAGGGTTGGCATTAGTGTGGTATGTCCTGTGGTTACTGGTAAGAATCATCTTGAGGTTAGGTGGTTGTCTATAGGAGACTACGGCTCTGTCTCCCAGAGCCTCTTGGAGTTTAGTATCCTGTTCCAGTATAGGTTGTAGTTTATTGATAATGTGTTGGACAGGTTTAAGTTGGGGGCTGTAGGTGATGACAAGTGGTGTTCTATTGTTGGTTTTCTTGGGTCTGTCTTGAAGTAGATGGTTTCCAGGTATTACAGGATACTAAACTTTGAGAGGCTCTGGGGGACAGACCCATGTGTTCATTTTTTTTATTGTATCCTTTGGTATATATGGTTGTGCCAATTTTCTTCCACTATTTGATCTGAGGAAGTGGGTCTGGCCCACGAAAGCTCATCACCTAATAAACCATCTTGTTAGTCTTTAAAGTGCTACATAGTCCTGTTTTATGTGTATTTAAACAGTGTTCAACTGCAGTGTTAACAAGGCCTACATCTTTCAGAATACACCACACAGCAGCATATGTCCTAGCCAATGCAGGTAGTTTTGGCAGGCCTAAATTCCCTTTCGGGTCATGGGCATAGATCAAACAGGATCTAGGCTTTGCCCTACCAATCTTTGGCCTTGCATGAGACTGCAAAAATGAGTATCAGTTTGGTCCAGAAAATAAATATTTCAAGGGGTTTTTTAAATGGAAAAAATAACTAGCTACTCCTAATATCATAGATATTAATATTGGGATCAAAATTAACAAAGCTGTGAGAACAGAGACTAACCCACCATTGTGCACATTAGGATCTCAGTGCAGTCAGGAATATCAAAGTCGGATAAACTGATTAAGTTGGTGCTTTCAGCAGAGTCCTCTTCAAAACTCTTGCACATTTTAAAGGGTATGTCATCCAGGTAGCTCATATTCTCTCGATAGTTTGCAACCTAACAGAAAAAAAGTAAATAAAAAGAAGTCTTAGTACATTTAATGTGAAATGGGAGAGTATGGCTTTTCACACGCCCAGTCCTAAAAAAAGACATGAAAGGAGAGGCAAAGTAGATATATTTTAATAATTGCAAATAAAAATAATTTTGATTTTAAACACAGGTTAGAGAGAAATGAAAAGCACTATTTGCTGCCGATTCTGGTAAAGCCGAAGAACAATGTGCACCATAAACACACAGACAATCTGAAGAACTCTGCTGCCGATTCTGGTAAAGCAGAAGAGCAGTGTGCACCATAAACACACAGACAATCTGAAGAACTGCATTTGGTGTCAGAAACTAGAAATATTTACGTAAAAGGGCTAAACTATTATTAGATGAAGGCATTTGTGAAGAAGACAGAATAGGGGCACTGTTTAGCCAAAACCTCCAGGGTTCAGCTTTTAGATCACAGGTGGGGAACCTCAGGCCTGGGGTCTGGATCCGGCCTCCAAGGCTCAGGGCCCTCCCCCCCCACAGCATTGCGAGCCCAGGCTGGTGCTCCAGCCCCCCCTGCTGCTCCACCGCAGGGCTAGAGCACACACAATCTACTAGGCTGGACCCCCCTCGGCTCTGGTGTGGGAAGGGAATGTGGGGAGTGTCTTTTTCCTTCTATCATGGGCTACATCTGTGAAGGTTTTGGGTGGGGGGGTTGCTCCTCACTTGTGTGCAGCCCCTGCCTGATTTTTCTGAGAGTTAGCGACTCCCGACCCAAAAAAGGTTCCCCACCCATTTTAGATGATAAACTGCTGTAAAACTCAAATGTGATTCATACTGAACACAATTACTTCACTTGGCTCACAGAGCTCAGACTGTTGATCTTACTCCCTGTAATTCTGCTGCACAAATCTTGTCCTGTGATCCAGATGGTCAGTGCTCCACTCATTAGTGACATACTATTCCTGTGCAGAATCAGGGAGGGCTGTCCTTTCACACGCACTTTCCGCTCTCTGACGAACTTGCACCTAAGATCCTGCCATGGACTATTAAAGGAGGCAGCTTTTAACCCAAGTGCCAGTCTGCATTCTGCACAACAGACTTTTCTAGGTTGCACTGCAGCACACAGGTCATCGGAGGAAGTGGGCTATGCCCACGAAAGCTCATGAAACCATAGAATGTTTTGTTAGTATATAAAGTGTTACAAGACCATTTGTTGTTTTTCAAGTTTATCCTGTACAGACTAACTCAGCTACCCCCGGAAACAGCTATACCTGTTCCAAATGTGCCTGGAGCCAGCTGATTTACCTTATTTACCCTACATTTCAAACCTCAGCAGTTCTTATGAAGAACCAGTGTACAGTTACTCATTTATCCTTTTTCCAGGCAAGAGCATATTAACTGCAACTCATTTAATCCTTTAGCTACTGGTTTACCAGCTTTTCAGATCTTTGATAGCCTTTCTTCTATACTCTGGCTAGCTTTACCTGACATTGCTCAGGTCCTTAACTCAAATAAGTTCTTTATTTCTTTATGTAAATCGTTGCGCTGGGGTGGGGCTGGGAGAAGGGGTTCAGGACGCAGGCTGCCCTAGGGAGAGAGGACAATCCCAGCCCTCTGTCATCGCAGCACCCAAGGGCCAGGTGAGAAGCGTCTCTCCATGGCCTCTGCAGTAGCAGCAGGCACAGTCAGGGGAAAGTGCATGTACAGGTGTTCGGGGACTGACTCACAAGCTCTCTGAACTATATAGTAGATAGCTGTCCCTCTCGCCACTCCTGGCCCCTGCTGGCCCAATGGGGCTATAGCTGTCCCGGTCCCCATCTCTGGCCCATTGCTGCCCCTCTGTGATCATTCTGCAGTATAACAGCCCCTCCCGCCAGATCCCTCCCTTTCCATTTTATGAAAATTGAATTCTGCACACATCCCAATCTCTTACCATAGTCAGCCTTGCTTTACGTTATAATAGGAAGCCACATGTCAAATTTGGTGGCCCTAACGTTAACCGTTTAGGAGGAAGTCTTGAACAAATAGATGGGCAGACGTGCACATTTCTGAAATATCTGGTAAGAAGATGAAGTACTCTGTTCTGGTACCCATGGTAAGTGATAACTCGAACAGATGGCATTTAGTCCCAGGGCACCATTGGGTCACCAAGAGCCACATCAACCCTAGCTTCAATTGCAGAATGATACAGACTCTTATTTATTCAGTGTCCATCCTCCATTATATTCAAGCTTAATTTGCCATATAGTTCCAATACTCTTCACATATTTCCCTTTCCCTCATTTTTCCCTCGCTGCATTCACAACTGCCACATCTCTCACTTCAATCATCCATCCACCCACCTTTCTTCCTTTCATTTCTTCCCCCAACAAGAAAACTGAGTACAAGGAAAAGAGCAACGGGCAGTTCTTCTTGAGACACAGGCTAAAATAGCTCAGTCTCTCCACCCTTCTGCAGTTTAAGGATGAACTTGGATTGGGGGAAGGAGTAGGCAGTTTCACAGCGGCCAACGGAAGCACAAATAGACATCCTCCTAGCCCAGTTGACATGACCCAACAGCAGCCCTAGCAAAGTCTGAACTAAGCAGCACAATCCCCAGGGCTTCCCCTCCACATGGCTGACCCAGTTGGGGTTTAAAGAGCAGATGGAAGGTGACTGCTGAGATGGGAAAGGAGCATCCTAACAGATACTCACAAATCCAAATGAGATTACTGGAAACAGAATTGCTGACGTTATTGTTGTGCACACACATGCCCTCTTCTCCAGCTTTGCCTCATCATGAGAAACGGCTCCTCTTTCAGAGTCTGATGGAGCAGAGTTCATGCACTCAGTTATCTCTCTCTACATTAGAGATGCGTGTCTGCCTGTTTGCGAGACCATGTGTTCAAGAACTCCTCCTAAGCAGGAAGCACTGCACCAGATTTGGAATGCAGCTTCCTCTTAGCCTAACTTAAAGCAAGGTCAGGGGTTGGTTGTGCCAGGGAAACACGATGTGCCTGGAATTTGATCATTTTTTATAAAATGGAAAAGGAGGGGGCTGAGTGGTGGGACACTAGACTCATAGTCACCACTGGGGAGCAGCTATACCAAGGGAGTGACCAACTGGGGATGAGGCTTGCCCTCTTGCCTGCTATCCAGCAGGTAAGTGGCCCCTCTACTCCAAGCTCTTACCCCCCTGGCTTTTGACTCGTGCTGGACTGCGGGGAAGCTGCACTAGCCCCACAGCCACGGACCCCCTCAAGAGCGGCACCAGGCAGCCCTGGCCTCCTCCTCAGAAGTCAAAGTACGCCACCTGCCAGCACTGCTGGACTGTCCAGTGAGAATGCAGCCAGCCAGCCCGCGCAGCCCCTTCCTTCCCCCACTTCAAGCCGGGGTAGACCAGGGAGTGCTGCCAGTAGACCAGTGCGTTCTGCCCCCTCCAAGCCCAGGCCAGACCAGTGCAACCCCCACCCCACTCCTGAGTTGGGCCAGGGCAGCACCAGGTATGTCATCTCATTTAAATAAAAAAATACAGAAAGAGGTTCAGTTTATTTCTATGGGGTATAGAACTCTGCTGTTTTAGTCATTTTCCTGAACGCTTTGTTTGGGAGGTGTTGCCAACACTGTTTTCCAAACCCTGTTATTGTGAGAGCTGAGATACCACCACACTTATTGTTAAGAGGTATATTGCTATTGTATTACCTACATAAACTTTGAAAAAAAATCATCATATTTTGCAATGGCAAAGTCTGTTTGTTTTTGTGATAGGAATGGCAGGGAGAGAAGGGTGGAGGCTGGGATTAGCGGCACAGAAAGTATTGTTACAATAGTGCCAATAGATTTAGGCTCTTTATGAATGACTCAATTTAGTGAAAAATAAGTTTGTTGAATAGTTAGATAAGAAATTAGGGATTTGGGCTTCTTCATCTACCAGAGACTAATACAAACCTACTTTTTGCATAATGCTAACTAGAAAGTCTTGATAGCAAGTCTTCTGACAAGACTTGGAATCTAAAGTCTGTGCTTTTTTTTTTTAATCCCCACACAGCAGTTCCTTACAATGTTACTGAAGAAATACAAATTAGCTAGAATCATATCCATTTCCAAGTTTTGCCCATAACTTTTCAAACAAGAGAGAGGTATGTTCATTAGCAAGGATAAGTACATCAAAAAGAAGCAGAATTTGTACAAAGGGGATAGAGCAGCATGTCATATAAAACGGTGAACAATGTGGATCTAAAAAGGAGGATGCCCCTAAATTAACTCTCAGCCAGAAACTCTTTGTTTCATTAGGATACAAATTTAAATACTGATATTATTAGACTAAAATATGAACATTCCAATGCACAATACCCAGGAACGACTGATCTAATTAATATATTTAAACTTATATTAACATTACAGAAAGGCTGTTATTTGGATTGTTAATGGAAGGATTATGTGCATCCAAGACTGTAGTTGTAGACAGATGGACAATAACCAGCTTTGCAATGCTGCATGTGCACTTTCATTAATACATTTCACGTGTAGCAAGCTGGAATCCTACACTAACACAGACCATCTGCTTTGATACATAAGAGAGGCTCAGTGTAACCTACAGCTTAAGAGTCACAGAAAAACAAACTATTTAAAAACAAATTACAGTGAAGCACCGACTTACGTCAGATCCGCACTTACGAACGGAGCTTTCTCGCCCCGGAAGTCGGGGCGAGAAAGCCCCGTTCGTAAGCTGCTCCGGTGCCCCTGGTCTGCTGGAGACCG